ATTTCAGGGTATAACTCTAATAAAGGAACTCATCGAYGAGTATGGACTCAAAGTAGTCCAAGCCTACATGAGTCACATACAGGTAAATCCACCTCAGGCAGCCCAATCAATTAAAACAAATGTAGTCTCAATCATTGTTGTTTCTTGTAGCAAAATGCCGAAGATGCTGTTCGTGAGATGCTGAAAGTCATGGGAAGAAAGTTCCAAGTAAGATGTGCTCGGATTGTATTTCATATCTTAGAGACTATGAGATTCTGAGTATAATTCGGCAAAATCAAGAATACTTTCAAAAATTTTCATGGAATCTGGAATCCAGAAGGAACTTGGATTCCGCAATCCATGAACGCTTGGRATTCTATTTCATAATTTAATCTAATAGTTAGTGTAATCTGTTCCCTACATTTTTGTACGTAACTAGAACATCTGTTTGACAATATCAGGAAGAGACTGGAAAAACTAGTTTCTCAGCTGAAGAATTCCTTGATGATGGAACACGAATCAAGCTGACTGTCTCTATTGATGTGGACACGGTAAGATTGATGAGATTTCAGACACTGATAAATATTTAAGAACGGTCTAATTGCATTTTTTTCTTTTGTGTCTATTTGACTACCACACTTTAATAGTCAATTTTTGTTTCACGGGATTAACGGCCTCAACCTATCACTTTTTCACGCTTTGGGGGTTTGTCTACCCTGGTTCCAGAGGTTTCTSTGTGTTATTCTCTGTGAAAATCTCTCCGTTCTTCGCCGCGAAGCGACGACATCGAGCTGAAGCGGCGAAGAACGGAGAGATTTTCACACAGAATAACACAGAGAAACCTCTGGAACCAGGGTAGGGTTTGTCCTCTACCATTGTCTAACTAAGATATTTTACGAGTAATTAATATAGGAATGAAGCATATTGTTTGCCACTTGATTTTTTTCCTATGTATTTCATGTCCAGGGCAACGCGGTATTTGACTTCGAAGGGACTGGGCCTGAGATCTACGGGAACTTAAATGCACCTCGTGCCATCACGCATTCTGCTATCATCTATTGCCTCAGGTGTATGGTGGATCAGAATATCCCACTGAACCAAGTGAGTGTATTTGTTTAGGTAGAGGTTTTCCTGTGCGATTTTGGTTTGCGATAAAATCACCGTAAAAATCGCAGCTCGCTCGTGGTGCGCGATTTGCACAATGACGTCACATACTACCAAGACCAGAATGCTTTGCACACTTTCTCTTATAAATAATAAATAAATAAATAAATAAATAGAAAATAAGCAGAGCATTCTGATAGTGGTAGTAAAATGGCGTCATAATGCATATCGTCAATTTTCTATTGTAAACTAGTCTGTAGTCTCGTTTGAATATGCGAGAACACTGAAAAAATAAAAAGGAAGACGTTGCGCTAACTAATTAAACTTTAATGAAACAAAAATCTAATTGAGAATAAAGCCTGATAAAATAAAATGTATCTTCTTTTAAATAGGGATGCCTTTATCCAGTCACTATCAAAATCCCTGATCCCTGTGTCCTGTCGCCGTCTGTAGACGCGGCCGTTGTTGGTGGCAACGTGTTGACATGTCAGCGAGTGGTTGACGTCATACTTAAGGCTTTTAAGGTCTGCGCAGCTTCTCAGGTAGGTCAGCAGTGTTTTGTATTCGTTCTATGATTGATCTGAGGCTTTTGTGATTCAGAAAAAAATGTTGTAATCGGTTGTATTTGTTCGGATTGTTATTAAAGATTAAACAAAATAAGGTATATCAAAATAGAACTTAAGTTATCGTTTTGAGCGCCACCTACAGATTGATACAATTACGTCATTGGCTCGTCATTTACCTACGAGGTGTTGTGCAATAATCAGGGTATGGTGATGATGACAATAATGATCATGAGAATGATGATGATGGTAGTGGTGGCGGTGGTGATGCCTAAGAATGCTTCGAAATGAAACTTTGCTGACTGTAAAATATTATACTAATATACAACGCGGAAGGGGGAGGGGGATGCAAGACTATACATATGACTAACCCTCCCTGTCTAGGGCTGTATGAATATCACAGCATTTGGTGATGATGCGGCTTACCAGTACATAGAAACCCTGGCCGGGGGATCTGGTGCGGTGAGTCACGTGACCCATACATTATCTAGTGTATGTATAGCTAACCCATTGTGTGCTCAAAGGAAACTTTAATAAACTTTTGAAGTAAGGATATCATTAAAGTATTTCTAATAAATTAATAACATAAATATAATAAACTTGTTATCTTCATCTGGGCCTTCCTTTTGTCGGTCCCTCGGGAGCATACGGTTGCTTACGTTTACCAGTGAAACATTAAATGTGTGCAATACTTTCCACTATTTACTACAAAATAGTGTTAATTAAACAATAGAAAACAATAGAATTAGCATAATTTAGCAGTATTTAGTGGTATTTATGTTGCACAGTTTTAGTGTTTGTACTCTATCAAATGATAGACCCAACGAGAAGTGAGTCAAAGAGCAGACTTGGATAGCTATTTGAGCCCTTCTAGTATTGTTCCTTGTCAGCGTGTCTTAGCTTTGCAGCAAAGCAGCTAGTTAACTGTTCACAGATCGCCGTAAGAGCGAACGAATAATTATAATGATAATAATGGTAATGATGGTGATGATGATGATAATAATGATTGATAACTATTAATAGATAATGATAATTGATAATAGCAATTATCTTAATAAGATAACATTGTTGTAAAATAATTAATATAACGACCTGTCAGATTCCACGATGCTTAGCAAGAGGGTTGCTATACATTCACTAGTAGCTTTCATAGATGTTGTTGTAATATTGCTTTATTTGTTTAGGGCTGTATGAACAACGTGCTCTTTGGCGATACTACTTTCGGCTATTATGAAACCATATCGGGCGGAGCAGGAGCGGTGAGTTGTACACATCTCGCAAAGGCACCTGGGATGTGCTTGTTCGYTCATTTGTTCTTTCTGTCATTTGGATTTCTTCGTTTTTTGTTTATTCATCCATTCATTTCCATCTATTAATTCCAATTTTCTCATGTATTCATTCATTTCATTCTTTCATTTCCATCCATCCATTCGCTGCATTCATTCGGTCATTTAAATATTCATTCACTAATACTAACTAAATTCATAAAAAATTATAAACGTAAGCGTTAGCCACCTTTCTCGTCAAACAATCGACAAGTTCCTCAGCATTGCGTGTTTTGGGGTGCCCCAGAGAAAGAGTATTTCTCGGCCCTTAGGCACAAAAAGGCTGATACCCTGCTTGTTTCCTTTTGTACACTCGGATATATCCGGTAATTCTCCCGCCATCCATCGTATTGTTGCTGTTAAAAGMAGCGATAACAGACTATGATATTTTGGGGTAGAGGTGCCCGAGCTTACAATAAARAGACGCAAAATAGTCTAGGAGTATTAATAGTCCAATAGACACAAACAATTTCGAAGAATGGAATGGGTCTCGGTTTCCTTTTTTTTTCAGCCTTTAATTCATTCATTAAAATTAATCCCTTCATTCATCGTTCATTATATCCGTTTTCATCCATCCCATGAGCCTTTGCGCGATTGCACTCGCCGTTATTCGAAAACAAAAAGCGATATCTAAAAGGCTAGACTGCCGGCAACGCGGCTATTCTTTAGTGAATCGGTCTCATTATCAGAAGMGTTTTAAGCGAATTTAGAAAATCACCGTCTTGATCACGTGATATTTAGTCACGTGTGTAAAACGCAGTTGTTAAAGGGACTGGTTTGGTTATTATATTAATCGGTTTGTTCGTTTTTATGCAGGGGCCAACTTGGAACGGTCGAAGTGGGGTACATGTTCACATGACAAACACGCGCATTACGGACCCCGAGGTCCTGGAAAGCAGGTAAATATKTGCTCGATTACTCCACAGAATGAAAGAGACACTAAGCCGTGTGGGACAGGCTAGGAAATCTTGTACGAGCATGCGCAATAGGTGTGTCATTGGCCGTCCCACATTGGATTGATAAAGTTCAACTCAATCCATATTGCTCTGTCGGGCTGTTTTGCGGGGGGAAAAACATTCCTTAAATATCCCAGAGGCTCATCATTATTCATTCATCTTATTTCACCTTATTTGTTTGGCAATGGATAACGTTAATTTTACAAAGAAAGTCACCATAAGTGGTTTTTACAAGAAGTCCGCCATCTTGATTACTACATCATTACCATGATGCAATTCGACAAAACATACATGACGTCATCAAAAAATCCATTTGTCACGTGATAGGTATCCAGTTGTATTGCGGTGCTTTCATCTGAGGCAAGGATCAGGGGGACAAGGACGCCATACTGGTGGTGATGGGGTTGTCAGAGAGCTGTTGTTCAGACGACCTATTGAGCTTTCTGTTCTCAGCGAGCGACGAGCGTTTCAACCTTTTGGACTTGAGGGTACTTACAGCAGAGTCGATCGATTTCGTATGAGTGAGAAACGGGTGGTTGAACTGAGATGGACGGTGCCGAGTGTTCGGACAGTGTATATACGATGCGAGCTCAAAATTGCATCAATCGGCATTAAGGCTTACGGTCAAAGATTCAGTCCCTTTTTCTCGTTCATACGAAGTTTCTCTCCATCTCCATCTAATAGTATTGCAAATAGTTGATCATTTTGCTTGGTAAGGGAGGGAGCTAAATTAGGAGCGTAGGAGAATATAAGAAAATGGAGAAGGAGAAATGGCTCCCGTCTACGTCTCTTAAATCAAGTGAGAACAAGGTCTGACGTAACTCTTTCGTATTCCCATTCCAGGAGGCGAACCAGGTTCTCGCGGGCTCAACTTATTAATTCAGAACGACGGTCGCGTTATTAACATCGGAGGAAAAACGTTGATTAACGTGAAGCCTGGGGTGAGTCACATGACTAGGATTATCATCTGTTTATAAATAATAACTAGTAACTTTTTCCTTAACGTAGTTCATTACTTCATGTCATCTTTAAATGACCTATCTCATTTCCAGGAATGTTTCCGCATACAAACTCCAGGGGGTGGGGGCTACGGCAAACGTTTGCAACACGAAAGCGAGGATCAAGATGGCCGCCCAGCGAAACGTCAGCGAACTGAGAATGCTTCCCAACTTTACATGGAGAGGGGATCTCTACATAATTACAAACTCATGCAGGAATCTGCCTGAGGGACCTGTCAGTCATGTGTTGTCGTCACCCCGATGGGGGGTAGGAGTGGAGTGATTTTCACCGCTTTTCATTGCATTTTTATACACTTAAGGATGGGGGGGGGTTCAAATCAGTTTCTCATAGAAAAATGGACTTTCGTAGGGGCGAAATCCAGAGTTGTCCTTGCTCTCTAAACTTTCTAAATGGTACTATTTATATNTTTGGGACTTTTTTCTTAGAAAAATTTCAATTAAAATACAACTAAAAAGCTTCAATTTTTATACAGAGAGCTGAAGAAGTCTGTCTTTTACAATTTTATATAAATGAATATTTAAATTTATGAGACACAGTTGAGTTTGAAGAACTTTTTCGCGACAATTTGAAACTGAGTAGGAGGCGCCGTCTTTGATTTGTCAGTGCCAAAATGTGTTGAATATTTCGTTTCTTAATATTTCTTCTTGTTTCTTCTTACAATGGAAATAGAGAAATATGAATATTCGATTTAATTAGCCTGAAAACCAGGTGTTTTGCGTTCATTATAAATGATGCATTCTCCCAATTCTTTCTTTCTAATTGATCATTGTTGTAAATAATTTTTTTCTGTTTCAATTGCATTTTCATAGATATTTTCCAAATATCTTTGGGCCCAATGAGGACCAACCTCTGGACAAAGAAGGAGCATTGGAAGCCTTTACGAAGTTTACTCAAGAGGTAGAGAAACAATTGAAGTAAACGTTTATTAAATTTTATTCAATATAATGAGATTTATTTATGAATGTTTTTGCAAGGGTAGTCATCAACTGTAATTACTTTTGTTGTCAGGTAAATGATTATATTGCAAGCCAGCCTGATGGAAAAGACAAAAAGCCCTACACTGTTATGGACTTGGCTCTGGGATTTGTGCAAGTTGCAAACGAAAGCATGTGTCGACCTATCAGAAATCTCACAGAGGCACAAGGTCACGATACATCCAAGCATGTACTTGCTTGCTTTGGTGGTGCAGGTGGACAACATGCATGTGCTATGGCACGCTCCTTGGGAATGTCGACAGTATTTGTACACAGGTATGATTTATTATTGATTTATTATTTAATTAATTAATGCCAATGATACTGGGATGAAACTCCTGATGAATGTGCCCCTGACTTTAGTGCCTAGTACCCAGTCCCTACTCMCTAGTCCTAGTCCCAGTCCCTTTTCCTAGTCCCTAGTCTCTAGTGGTCAATGTGAAAGGAAAGGAAGCCCAASAAGGAAAACAAGTCCAAAAAKAGTTGCTATGTTGACTCCATGTTGATCTTSAATAATGATAACTTAGATAATATTCAACAGATATGCTGGTATMTTGTCTGCATATGGTATTGCGCTTGCTGACATTGTTCATGAGGCACAAGAACCTTGCACCCATCCATATGAACCAGGTAAAACCAATGTCAAAWAAATCGTTTTGCCTATATKTTATCGTTAGTACAGTTAAGGGACTGTTCGTTTATTATGTCTCAGGGAKRGRTGGTGTTTTTATGTATGGGGTACAATTTTAAAAATGTCTTTTTCAGAGAGGGTATGTTTTTTTTYAAAGGATGTCTTATTAAGCGGGGAGTATGAATCACTTACAATAATTTACCACATTCCGCTTATTCACTTGTTTTTATCTACTCACACAAGAAGTCTCCTTCAGAATCATTTCAGTATTTGGATGAAAGAATTGACATGCTGAAAGAGAGATGTAGAGAGGAACTAATAAGAGAAGGACTTAGCAAGTAAGTGTTGATAGAAGTTAATAGTCATCTTCACCATTGACAAAAAATGCATAACTTTCTTTTTTTCCTTGTTTTTCAGAGACTGCATCTCCACTGAAGTGTTCCTGAACTTGCGCTATGACAGAACAGACTGTGCACTGATGTGTAATGCCATCGAAGACAAATCCAAGGTGTGAATAATTATGGCACCTTTTTCACCAGGGCAAAATACACCCTTCAACTTGTGCTAAATGTATTGAGTTATTGAAAAATATGGAAAAAATTATTTCCCTAAAATTTTTTTCCTTTCTTCTCACAGAATTCATGTCGTCATGGAAATTTTGAGAAATCATTTCTTGAAAGGTATTATCTCAATAATATTGATGATGATGATAATGATGATGATTTTAAATCATGGTTGTATGTAAATTCAGATATCAACGTGAGTTTGGTTTTGACATTCCTGGACGTAAGATTTATGTCGATGATATTCGAGTCAGAGGTGTTGGTAAATCATCTGTCAATATTAGAGGACCAGATAACAATCCTAGTGGACCGCCTAACCCAAAAAAGGTATTTTCCCCTTCTGCCTTCCCTTTTCCCTCTTCGCTCTTCCCTCCTCCCTCCCCTCCTCCCATCCTCTCCTTTTTTCCAGTTCTTCTCTTAATTTGCACAATAGCTCTAAAGAAGAGTGCCTACCTCCTTCACTAGAGACCCTATACAAGATTGAATGCACTTGTTACCTTAGGCTGTTTGCTTTTAAATTCTATGCAAAGAAGTAGCTTCCTCTTTTAAAATGGCGCAGGAACTTACAAGGAGACTTTGATAAGGTGTTGAGACACTAAAGCATGTGGTACACTCAAAGATCATAATATTAAGAGCACGCATTTAGTTATTTCGTTAAATTATTGATTAATAACTTGACTTGTTCCAAGGTTACTCAGTGTTATTTTGAAGATGGTTTAGAGGATACATCAGTGTATTTTCTTGAAGAGATTGCAAGTGGTTACGATATACAAGGACCTGCAATTATCATTGATAAAACAAGGTATCTGCATTTCTACCTAGGGTTACTCGAYCCCAACTTGGGTGGGAGTGTGCCRCACAACCCGTGATCAAAAACCCCTACCCTATCCCAGACCAATTTTTGTGATTTTACATACCCTACCCCAGACTAAAGGTACAAAGGTACATTATHTWAGCGCTGAAAGYGTGGYCTAGCAGATACRATCACAGGCAAAACTCCACCCTACCCCAGAMAAWGAGACTATWCCCTATCCYACACAAAAAGACTACCCTATCCCAGACAAAAAGACTTCSCTATCCCAGACARAAAGACTACCCTATCCCAGACAAATGGGCAAAATCCCAGACCTGGAGCTCMRAAAAWGGAACCTATMAAGCGGCACATACCCGTATAGCAAATATAGRGGAGTACCCCATGCAAAGCTAGATATCCTATTGCAGCAAGAATCTCTCGTTGCCTCACTATTAACCATGAGTACAAACCTAAATTAAATTTTAAGTTTATTAATTTTTACCACATTAACTATCATTTTTCTTTCAGCACCATTTTAGTTGAGCCTCACTGCACAGCATGTGTTACCAAGGAGGGAGATGTTCGAATTGAGGTGAGAGGAAAAAAAAAAGCATGGCAATGCTATTCCTACTGGCTTGTATACTAATGATTATTTCATTTTGATTTTTAGATAGGATTACACAAGCATAAATCAAATATAGGAACAGAGCTGGACAGAATCCAGGTGGATTTGGATTTTCTTGCTACCAATAAGAGGACMATTTWTCAAAATTGAGTTTTGTTTGTCCAAATTTAASGAGYGTGTTTGCTYTGSATTCATTACAAGTGATATCTTGTTATACTTTACACAAATAATGGCACATTGTGCTCATGCATTCTTCTTATTTCTTTCATAGTTGGCAATATTTTCGCATCGCTTTATGAGCACAGCGGAGCAGATGGGAAGGTTAGAAAACAAAAATAGTTTAGAACAGTAAATGTATGTTTGCTATCATGCTTCCCCTGACCATATTCTTTCCTTACTTTTTGTCTTCTTTCTTTCAACTTATTCATAGATTCTTTTTGTTCAACCAACCATCCTTGAATTTCATCCTACGTCTGCTTATCACTTGAGTTATTTTCCCATTCATTTGTTCCATTCATTCATTCATCCATTCATTTTCATTCACTTATTTGTTTGCAGAGTATTACAAAGAACATCTATTTCCACCAATATCAAGGCAAGTCAAATTTATAATAATATTATTAAAATAATATTTCACATTTTAAGGATTTTATTATAACCCGTAGTCTCTTCTTACAGCCTTTCCTATTGGCTCATTCCCAAGTTTCTCCCCACTAACTAGTTGGACAGGCCAACTGAYGCCTGCAAGAAGGGACTAAAATCCAATGAYTTAACACATTTTTGAACTATTTTCAACAGGAAAGATTAGACTTTTCATGTGCCATGTTTGGGCCTGATGGGGGCCTGGTAGCTAATGCACCTCATATTCCAGTCCACCTYGGTTCTATGCAAGAAACGGTCCAATATCAAGTAAGTAGATAGTCTTCCCTTGTAAGGCATCACTTTCATTCTCTGTGTTGGGCTTCCTATGCATAAGATAGCTAGAATGGGATTTTGCAGACTATTGCTGGTTTTTATAATGGTTTTTATAATATTTTTTGATAAAAAGTGAGTTTTTTTATCTTAATAAGGTATTTATTATTGTTATATGACAACAGTTTCTTTGGCAATTGCTCCACTTAACTTTATTGACCTATCTTAACTTTCAGATAAGAAACCTTGGTAATGACATTAAAGAAGGTGATGTTATCCTTACTAATCATCCAGTAGCTGGAGGGACGCATCTGCCAGACTTGACAGTTATTACACCAGTAGGTCAAAGCTCTCCTCTCCTCTCCTCTCCTCTCCTCTCCTCTCCTCTTTTCTTTTGCTTTCATAGTCTTGATTATTGTCCATATATGGTTGTTTTTAGGTGTTTTACAAAGGTGAACCAAAGCCTGTGTTTTACGTGGCAAGCCGTGGACACCATGCAGACATTGGAGGGTTAGCACCAGGTATGTAGTACACAGGAATNTACAAACTCATGCAGGAATCTGCCTGAGGGACCTGTCAGTCATGTGTTGTCGTCACCCCGATGGGGGGTAGGAGTGGAGTGATTTTCACCGCTTTTCATTGCATTTTTATACACTTAAGGATGGGGGGGGGTTCAAATCAGTTTCTCATAGAAAAATGGACTTTCGTAGGGGCGAAATCCAGAGTTGTCCTTGCTCTCTAAACTTTCTAAATGGTACTATTTATATAATTTTATTGGGTGAATACAAAGGATATGCCGATAACATGCCGATAGTATGCCGATAACATAGCGCTAGCATGCCGATAACATGGCGATAGCATGCCGATAACATGTCGATAGCATGCCGACAATATGTCCGCGATAGCATGGCGATAGCATGCCCATAACATGTCGATAGAATGCCGATAGAATTATGATAGGATATCGATATGTTTTTGTGGTTACTCCGTCTATAAGACGGGTAACCACTTTGTTATCGAGTTGTTAGTAAGTAAGGTCACGTGATTGTCTCACCCATGACGTTGCATTGCCTTGGCAACTAGCCAACGGCGCTGACAAAGAAAAACACTGGCTCAGGAGTCAAGATTTCCACATGCTCACCTTGATTTAAAAACTTGCGTCGGTAAGTAAAGTAAATTTTGTTTTTTATAAATATTCTTTATCTCTCTTTATCTATCAAAGTATTGACTGTATTGATCAAAGTTTTTTTAAATGTTTTTCACAATTTAGTCCGATCTTTATGTCCGAATAACAGGATAAATCCACGATCGATAGCGATTGTTTATAATACGAATGTCAATCGAAACACCTCTGTTTCTAATGGCAGACAAACAAAAAGAAAACCAAAAGATGCCAAAAAATAACTAATAACTGCCAAAAACGAATCAAATACAAAGTGAATAAACCCTATTATGGGTTAAATCAACCTCCTGAGGATATATCAACCAAAACAGGGAGTCTAATTATAAGAACTAAGTTTTAAGTTTAAAAAAACATTTTAAATCATATAACAGCTGATTAAGACATTACCATTTGCAAATAAGAACAAGTATTCACTTAATAGTATTTGTTGGTTCAGAATAAGATAATATCATAAAGAGTAAGTAATAACAACTATCAAAAACCTTTGACAATTGAATTGAAACTACTTTATTGATGCAAGTTATTCTACTCTGATGGACATAAGCACTCTACCCTCACTGATTCATATTTCTGATAACTTTGTGTAAATTAATAACTGTTTCCTTAATTTTTCAGGTATATATATTAATACTACCAAGAATAGCTCTGCAATTGAGGAAAATGACCCTTTGAACAGCTATCAGGAACACATCAAGCACATACAACTATTACATGCAAGATTTTCACAGTAGAAAAAAATAGGCTCATTCCTATTGTGCAAAAAAAAGAAAACAGTTGTACTGTCAAATGTTAGTCCATGATACTATTAGTGCATCCCAGATGTCATTGTCACTTTATTCAGTAACTTCTTAATAGAATTATTGAAGACATGATTGTTTGCCAGACAAGGTATTGGACCTTGAACCAATTCAATACCCTATTGTATAATCAACACTATTTAGTAGTAATTAGTACAATTTGTTTCATGCTTTAATATAAATACTACAAAATAGGTGATAAATTATACAAATTTCTTTGTTTCCTATTGTATAATCAACACTATTTAGTAGTAATTAGTACTATTTGTTTCACGCTTTAAGTGCGAGCACTCTACTTTCTCACACTCTTTAAACGTCATTGTAATTTTAGTAGGTAACATGTCATCAGTTAACTGTCACCCGTCCCAAGACTTTAAACCTGTCTGCCCTGACACCAACATATTTGCAGCAATTCCCAAATCAGATTGTCAACTTAAATTACTTAAATATTCATTCCTGCACACAGCACAATATTAAAATCTCAAAATATTCATAACAACAGTTTTTGGAGTAACCACATGCGCTTTTTAAGCGCCTTTTTTTATCATTTATCATCAGTAAAATGTTAATAAAATCATCAACATTCTGATAAACAGTATTTATGTGTTGTTGTTTTTTTTCGAAATTTTTACGACGAGAGCAAAGAAAGATTTTTTAAGATGAAAATATATCCCTGGAAAAGTGGTAACCTCCTGTGCAGACTAACGGAGAACATTTTTACATTTTAAACACAAGATCATACTCGAATAGCGGCTTTGAACTGGGCCGGATACACTGGAAAAAATCGCGCACTTTAAAGGTTGTAAATTTGATGTAAATAAATGATCTAAGTGTCCAAAATGATGTAAATTAGAATTATTAAATTAACATCATTTTGGACACTTATATCAAATTTACAACCTGAGTGCGCGATTTTTCTCAGTGGATCGCGGGCTCGATTCTCGACTCGAGAACTTTTGAGCAATTCTTTTTAAATATACTTGTTCTTTTTTCTTTCTCAGTAAAATGGGAAAAGACCTTCCATCTTTTGAATTCTCAATACAATGCGAATCCTATATCTGATTGCCGAATTTTCGGTGCAATTATAAAAATATTCAGAGTATAAATGCCTGGGAAAAGATTATTCGCAGAATCTATCAAATCAATTACGGTGCCGATAAAAATATATTCCACGTGAAAATTCTCTACTCTTACGTAACCAGGATAATTCTAACAGTTATGCAAATTGGTGCCGCGGATTAAAGGTTGCTTTGTATTTTTTTGGTAACAAGACATCCCAAAGAAACAATACATGTTTGGCATAAAAGTCTTTTTTTAGTTCACAAAAGTGATGAAATCGTCTGCGACTAGAAGCTATTCTTAAGCTTCTTTCTCATTAATCGGAAAATGAAGGTGGTTAGCATAGTTTTAGTGGCTCTGCTTGGTTCTCAGATGTTAGCAACCATGATTGGGAACGTCTGTCTGATCATACTGCTGCGTAAATCAAGACAGCTCCAYCGTAGAGGGTCCATGAACTTGATTTTTAACTGCGCCACAGTCGATCTTACTTCCGCCATGATAAACATTCCTATTTCTATGGATTACTATGTTTTCAAAACGGGAAACTTAAATGGGGCTGTAGCAACTTCAGGGGTGTTGTTCACAGTAGAATTCCTTACGACTCTTACTCTACATTCTACTTTGCTGGT